CAGCAATTTACTTAATTATAACTTGTCACAAGTGGTTATCTACAGGCCCTCCATCTCGCAAAAGTTGAAATCTACATCATTAATTATGGACTTCGTTTGCTTACAGCCTGCAGAATGTAGATGTCCTTATTTTACTATTTTTTTACTATTTTTATGACATGTAATTTTCTATGCGTCACTTGCGATCTTACTAAGATGAATAAAAACAAGTTTAACAGTCAAAATCTCGATTAGGCTTATTGCTGCAATGAACGAACCATGGTTATGGAGTCTTTTGTTGCAATCTTAAGGGAACATCCAAGGTTATCAATATTTTTAGTTTTAGTTTTAGTTGAAGAATGCACTTTGGGCAGAAAGAGTGTAACTATTTCTGTAAGATACTAACGAGTATAAACAAGAACCGGTTAGTACAGAAATAGTATATTAATATAAAAGATTATATTCTACTCTGCATTCTTAATTCTTACTACGCATTATTTACATACATACTGGTTGCTTGTCTGGCTTCTTCTTTGTTCTGAAAAGAATTTCAAAATTTAATTTTTTAATTAAATATGATTTATTTTTAATTAAGTTATAATATTCCTTTTTTCATTTGCTTTGAGTATTATCTGCAATGAGACAAAAAAATTTTTCTTTAATTTGTTTCTCATATGTAAATATTTTGACTTTATGAAATATTGGGATTTTTTCTATATAATTAGTTGTCAAACACTATAGATTATTTTTACAGTTTACTGCATACAAATTACAGAACGTAAACTCTTAAAGTGCAACAGTTTTATTGTTAATTTTTCATAGTTCCCAAGTGTAATAAAACTAATTTAATTACTTTCCCACACTTTGTAAATGTACGAGTGTGTAATTTGCATTTATTAATTAACTAATTATTACTTAAAGTAGTAAATATAACTATTGTTTATACATTTTTACACTATAATATATTTATTACACTTTGCGGTTATAAATTAATGCTAACATAAGTAAATAAAAGTCTATCGAAATTTTCTAATTTAATTAATATTATAAGGATACGCTCGATGAATTATTTTAAAATAACATTAAATTAAATTATAATCAATATTTTATTAGAAAATTAAAAATTACTTATACAACTTTGTATTTTTGTACTTGAAAAGTTTTTTGAACAAAATTCAAAGTCTTTTATTGTTTATATACTTTTTTGTTACTAAGCAGATTTAAGAGGCAAAGTATATGTTAGTATAAATATAAATATTTATGTTTTATATTAAATTTTCAATTTTTGTTTCGAATTTATACAAACTTAATTCTAACATCATACAATGACGTTAGACTAGGATTGGACTTTGATACACATGATTTGCTATTCCTATAATATTAATGGCTTCTTAATAATTATTGGTGTCTTCTCAAAAGAAAAGCAATGACAAAGCTGTTATTTTAAAATAATATTTTTAATACACATTTTCGAAAATATTGGGCTAACATTTACTTGGTTGCATATGTTGGATCCGTCACCTTTGTATTTGATTTGATAAACCATATTGTGTTTATCCAAAGTGTCAATTTTTGATTTAGTGTTTGAATATAGCGACTTCATTATATTTTGTGTCCTATATATTATTTTATATTGTTGTTTGTCATATACATATATTGGATGTTGAAATTGGATTCGACGTACGTTGAAGGACTTATATAAGCAAAAATATTATCACAGAGTGATAAAGACTGTTGCTTCAATAGCCTTCGCCAACTCGTGCCGACCAAATATTTTACAAAAAGCTACCCTTTTAAAATCCCCCCTCGAAAATTGAGGGACGTACAAAAGCAAGAACATTATCACAGAATGATAAAGAGTACGGACCTATCATTTTGAGATAATGTTCTAGAAAGTCTCTCAACTTTCGAGAGAGGAATTTTGAAAGGAAAGTTCTTTGTAAAATATTTGGTCGGCACGAGTTGGCGAAGGCTACCACATCCGAATGTATCACGATTTGTTCGAGCTTTATCACGCTATTGATATAATTCAACAAATTAATATTCAGCAGCTTTGTTGGCTTAGTCATGTTGTGACAATACTAGATGGGTATTTACAATCACTATAACAAGCTAACTGAACCATTTAATTAATCAAAATTTCATTCAAAAATTAACATAAGTACAAGATAGGTGCATTTATATAAACTAAAGGAAAAAACTTCTAAAATCTGAAAAAAATTTAAGAAAATCAAAATTTCTTTTTCTTCATTATTCTCTTCAATTCATCATTTTTAATAAAACATAAAAGTGAAATATCATTATTATATTTCATATATCATATATCAAAAAAAAATCGGACGTCTCAACGATGTGTGACATTGATTACGCGTTTTTACTTACAAAAATTTCTTTATTAAAATTAAAAAGAACATCAAAAAGAAAACAAAAAGAATTGTGCAAAGTTCATTTATTCTCAAACCGAACCAAAACAAATAAATTATAAAAACCACAAAGTAAAAAGTAAGCAATGCAGCAGCAGCGCAAACTAGCAGTTGGCGTCAACGCACAAGCAAAGCTAAGAATTTATATAAACTGCACAACATAGCACTTGAAAGCAGTTTCTTACTGTCGTTAGCACAGTGACCAACGTCGAACGTCGAAGTCAAACGTTACGATAATTAACTGTGAAAGCTCAGTTCTTGCGCGCACAAACTGCTGCCGAAAAGCATTGTGTTTATACGAAGGCTTCATTGTGGCCGACAACTCAACGGCCGAGTGCTTAAGTCAACTGCGCGGTTATAAAACTTAAACATCGCAAAAATCGCGTACGACTTTAAACTATAAACAACACCAACAACAACAACAACAATACGAACAAAGCAGCTTAAGCACAGCAGCGAAGTTAAAATTGGAATTCGTTTTCAATTCGTTTTGAAATATTGTTTTACTTTGCATTTGAGCCAAACTAATCATTTCTTCTGACGAGTTTGCTTTTGGGGTGTTCGCAACTTTTGTTTTCAGTTTATAACGAATCTTTCGTCTTGACGGTTGTAAATCTGCTGCATAAGAAATATTCTTGAAAATATTTAAGTTGCAATTTCAAATTAAAGTGTAAATTATCAATAAAAAGAAAAAAAAACAAAAAATTATTTGTTTAAAAAGTAAGCAAAATTCGTTTAAAATTTAATTTTTTTTTTGTGTTTTGTTTTTTAAATTTTGCTTTTGCAAACGTTCTTGAAAATTCTTAAAGTAAGCGTTCTTGACACCATCTCGGCTTAACTTGATCGTGATTGGTGTGGTGTTCTAAAGTGCAGTATGGCGGGGTCATCTGAATTGCATAAAATTTGTTATTGAAATCTTACGTTCGGTTCTGTAAATAATACATATAGTACACATATATAAAAAATAGTCAAACTTGCTAAAATAAAATACTTGAAAATTTATGCTACCAATTGCTTTTCGGGCAATTGTTTCGTTGAGTATGAACTAATTAAGAAACAATAACATAAAAACTAAATCAGGACTTAAATATAATAACAGAAGTAATAAAAAAAAAATTTAAATAATACGAAAAATATAATTCTACAATTATTTACTCCAATAACTATTAAATTTTTAATAATTTATATATAAAAAAGAAAAGTTAACTAAAAATAAAACAAATCACATTTTGTGTATTGTTTTGTGATTAAAAAACACAAAAATTTTAAAATTTCTACGTAAATTAATTTAAAATAAACTTAATAAAAAAACAAATACAATAAGTAATTTAAAAATAAACTATAAAATAAATAATTTTAATTTAAATGTTTAATTAATTTTGAAAAACATTTCTATAATAATGCTTTGTTCAAAATATGAATTAAAAAAAATTTTAAAATTTTATTAAATTTAATTAAAATAAATTTAAAAAAACAGTAAAAAATAACTTCTAAAAAAAATAATAAAAAAATAAATTTTTAAACAAAAATGTAAAACTAACTCATTATAGTTTATTCGCAATAAAAACAATTTATTTATTTTTCAACAAAGAAATATTTAATTAAATCAGAATAATAAGAACAGCAAAAAAATAATTAAAACTATAAGTGTATTTCTCAATAGTTTGATAATATAAAATAATGGTTTGAAAATTTTAATTAATTTAGAAAGAAATATATAATTATTAACTTAACAATATCTGTATAGTTTAAATTTCTAATTAAACCATACTGATTTAAAAATGTATTATATTGAATTTATAAAATCAGTCTATATACAAAAATAATATACATATATAAGAAAGTATATTACTTTATACATTCGTTGCAAATTGTGTAATTTCAAAAGTTATAAGATTTAAATATTCAGTATTCATTAATTCAATAACTTCATAATTATTTCTTGGGAACTTTTCAAATATAATTTTTTATTGTTTCAATTGCTGCATGAACAGAAGAGATAGATTTACATAAATATGATTCCTGAGTAATTTTAATGAAAATAAGAAATTTTCTATTATTATTATCATTTCTAATTATTTTTTAATCCAAACTAGTCATAAAAACTAAAATTTATTCTTTAATATAATTACTATTTTTTTTTCATTGTTATTACGAATATTAGTGTAAATACTCTGATAGCATTTTCAACATATAAACCATTATTTATTTATTTTTAATTTTAATATTATTTAAAAATACTTTTTCAAGTATGCTAATATTGTAATGTATGTTTAAATTATTATTATTTTTTTTCTGTCTTGCATAAACTATTTAATTAATTGTGCAATAATGTACCAAGAATATTCCATTATTATTAAAAAATTTAAAAACGTTAACCTAACAGAAACCGATTCAATATATTCAATTCAAAATTCAAAGAATCGAAAATTATAAAATACATGCAAAAAAAAATAACAGAACTTTATTTCATTAAAATCCAAAAAAAAAAAATTTTAAACAAATAATTTCTTTTTTGCAGTAAATCGCACATTCAAACAATAGAATTTATAAATGTGTTAATATAAAAAAAAATAAAAAATAAATATAAAGAAACGACATTTAAGTGTGAAAACTAGTATGAAAAGATTCTTAAAATTACACAAAAATTAATAAATTAAACGGAACTAAAAAAAGTCTGAAGCAAAAATAGCTGAATAAATATGTGTTCAAAATTCCCACCCTTCTTAGTAGGGGTGTACCTACTTCTAATATTAGGTTCCGCTTTCAGTGGTTGTCTGGCCATAGATACAACTGCTGCGCATGTCACAAATCCAACTTGTAATCTTCGAGAAAATTGTAATCTCAACGATGATTTACTAAGTGTTGGTGGTGATCAGAAGGAACTAACTGCCGAAAAGCTAGAAAATAAAATTGCATCTATATTTGAAGATAAAGTCAACTATAGTATGAAATTATTTGCTGAAGATTCAGTCATTGAGTACAATACTTTGGAACGGAATTTGAGTAGTGTTAGTGCTCAAATACAAACTAATTTTACACTAGGAAAACTGGAAGAAGAAGATGCTGATGTAGAAGAGAATGAAAGAGGTAAGGTGTTAATTAAAAAGATGTAATAAAAAATATTGATATAAATAAGTTTTTATTAATATAAACTTGAATCAAACTATTATTTGATTCGTTTTAAAAAAATAATAATATCAAAAAGTTGAATTTAAACGTATAAAATAAAGAATGTAAATGTTCCACTGATAAATTGAGTTTCATATTTTTTATTCTATAACACTGTTTCTGTTTCCATCTACTAAATATTTTATTAACAGCTTTGGTTATTATCAAATAAATTATATATGCATATATGTATAATTAATATATTCTTATGTGTAATATATTAATACTTTTGAAAAAATTACATCCATAACATAAGTAAAAAATTTATTTTATTGCTCCATATGTCCGTTACGTCTACGCCCACGTCAATATAACATAGCAATGTCAGTAAGAATATATATAACTGCAATATGTATAGTAAAGTTATAATTTATATATTCATCAATATTTTTATTCCAAAACGAAAATAATATTAGAAAAATTCAATAAGTACGTATACGAGTAATAACACAATATGTACTTTACAAACACATTTTATTTTTCCCTTGATTGTATGCATCAGTTCATGATTCATACTCTGATCCAATTGTATTAATTCTAAGTCATAAAAGTTATTTTCGATCTACATCTCTCTTGTGTTCTATAACACCTGCGAGTATTAATTGCAATACTTCATATATTGGTGTACATAGGTTGGAACTCAAGGTTGCCTTTTTCCAGACTTAATTATTCCTAACCGATGCTTTCTTCTTACAGTCTTCTGAGTACCTCTACATAGTAACTCTATCGAAGATACTTTTAGCAAAGGAGATAGCTCAACATCGTAAAAGCGTCTAGTTTGTACACAACGGTGTCTTTTAGAATTAAATTTCTGTTCCTTGGAGTAAACTTGGCCAGAGATTGTAGCTTCTATAATGCAGCTCTACCTTCAGATTAAATTCATTATACATTTATTTTTTTTTTTTATTTAATATGATATTCAAAACTTCAAAAAACATTTTGTGAATTTTTCATTTTTCATAAAAAATCTTTCTTATCAAATCTATATTAATTGTTTTAACAGAATTTTGTTAATGTACTTAAGCTTACAATTTTTGTATGAAATATACTTTATAAAATCCATTATAACAGAGCTCTACTCTAGTAGCCTCCAAAATATATTTCAGATATAAATAAATAATTGTATAAAGAATTGTAGTTATAAATATTGTCGTATGTTATATATTAAAGTAAAATATATTAAAGTAAAATACTTTAAGAAAAAAATTAGCTAGTTCTACTATTATGAGTTACAAATAGAGTTAAAATAAAAAAAAAACATTAAAACGAAAAATGTTCGTCTATTTAATAGGAATCAAATGGCTTAGGCACCTGTTTAGATATTCTATAATATTAATGAAGTCAATGCCTGTCGTATATATTGTTGAACTATTTTTGCATATATTAATATATGTATCTTAGTTAAGACTTACAGAACTTACAGAATATAATTGATTCAAATAGATTTTTAAATGTTTGCTATAAAATTTTTTATTGATTATAACATGTATTTAAATAAAATTTTAATTGCTCTATATTTAAATTAAATTTTTATTTATTTAACTTTTAATTAATTAAATGATTAATCTTCAAAAATAAAGAGTTTGAAAATGATATATTTCATTCCCACCAATAGTTAGTGATTCATTATATATGAAGAATTAAAGAAATAGACTTCAATCACGTTCCTTAAATGACCTTTACCTGCCACTTGCTTAGGCTCGCAACCAAACTAAAATCAATTGCCTTGTCTTACAAATTTGCGCAATAAATTTGCCAAATAAAATTTCAATCAAATTAAAATAATTTTTTTTTGTAATTTAAAAATTTAGTTTTTAATTTATTTTCGATTTTAATTAAATATTCCTGTGCGTATATTATTTCAAAATCGATTTATGTACCAGTTTCTGTACAACCCAAAACTTCAATTACATTCCATTCCATTCCATAACTCAAGCTGACAGATACAATATATATGCATATATACATATATACCTGAGCTACATTATAACTTGTGGCCCTTATGGCAGTCCAAACATACCAAACTATCTATTTTTATATTATTCCAAAAGTCATGTGCAGGTGTGTTTATTGGTTTCTGTCAAATCGTTAAACTTTTTTTTGCAGATATGTGGATTTGTCGATTATCGTGTTATTAACCGCTCAAGTGATACTTAAACACTTAACAAGAAGCTATTAACCAAGTTAAGTCAAGTTTTATGAGTCTACATTTTGTTTGGCATTATGCATAAATAAAATAAATTTGTTATTTTTGCATATAAAAAATTTAATTACAAAATAGTTATTATTATAAAAACACTTGTAAATGATATTTGACATCATTCAAGTAAATATTTGAACTGAAATATTAACAATATTACCAGTGGCTCATATAAAATTATGTGAGAATATTGAAATAGTAATTTTAAATTGACGTGCTTTGTACCTACATATTAAAAATATATAATTTTTATTACTTTTTAGACAACACTGAATTCAATTGAAAAATAGTTAATATATACAAAATTACCATTAATACTAAATATGCATATTATGCACATTAAGCACATCAACCATTACAAATGGGCGAATCCAATTTTTATAACTTCAGTTTAAAAATACATAAAATGTTTTTATATATGTATTCACCTATATAAAAAATGTTCAGTGGCGATAAATTTTTAATATGCAAATACATGATTTTTTAATATATTTATATATCTAATATATTTTAGTTTATACACATATCTATATAATATATAACATAAATGAACTCAAATTCGGCATTTACCAGTTTAAAAGTATCAAATAATAACAGCTTGAGCCACTATATGGAAAGCTCAACAAAATTTAATCTTTTAATATGCACCTTCAAATTTTGATCTTCATATGATATATATGAATGTGAGCATTAGTATAATTTTTGCCACTCTTTTAGTAGAAGTCTTTTTATTGGTTCAGAATTTAATATACGACTATTAATTTCTGAACGACTATACGACTAATAAAATGAAACACGAACATGGAATCCTGGAGATATACAAACCTTCTTTTAAATTATTTATATTGATTTTGTAATCAGTTAAAGACTAGAATGTAGACTTGTGAAAATGGGCAAAGTTATCTGAAAAAGTATTTAAAATCAAAACATAGTTGAAAAGTATGATATCTAAAGTATTACTTACCCAATAAAATTTTCAAAGGGATTCTGTAATATAGATAACGAATCTCAAATGATAACGAATTTATGTCAATGAAATAAACTAAACTTTAAGTCAGAACACAACGTCAGATGTTATCAGAACAGAACTATAGTTCAGTACTAAATAGATATCGATTTGAAGGAATGATGTCTGGCATTAGTTGAGAAAAAAAAAGTAGTAGTTCAGTATTGAATAGATCTCGACTTGAAGGAATGATGTCTGGCATTAGTTGAGGAAAAAAATTATAGTATCAAGAAAAAATCAAATATTCCGCTACATATTGTATGTAATAAAATAAAATCATGTAATAAAAATAAAACGTGTTATAAAAAAATAAAAACAAGAAATGTATTATAAAAGATTTTATAATACAAGGCATATAGGTAAACTCTAGAAGTACTTAACTGAATAACATTGTCCTGCAAGAGACTTATTATATAGATGTAGTCTCAAGCTTCGAAGCGCTTAACAGGATGAAATCAGCTCGTAGCGGGAGATCGTTGGACATATGCAGAAAATTATAATGCCGATAACGATGCTGATGTTTAAAAACCTGAAGTACAAATTTTTAAAAAAAATACAAAAGTATTTAGATATGCAATGACCTACATATTAAAAATATATAAAATTAATTAAAAAAAGTTAAATCAAAATCGTACGTCTACTATATTTACATCATAACATAAATGTCTAAATGTCTTAAGGTCAATGGTATTAACTAAATATATGGTATAAAAATAACCTTATGTACAATGCTTCTTTTTGTTTGCCAATAATAAACATAGTCTTGAACATTTATAATTTAAATCATATGCAGAAATTTATATTCTTTAATCATAAAATCGGAAAAACAATTCTTTTTTTAACTACAGTAAATATATATAATTATTTATATTGAAAAACAAATATGTGTAAATAAAATAAATTAACCATTTGAAAAAATAATTTAAAATGTTAACTACTCATGAATGTAAATAGTTCTGGTTGATTTTATTAGAGTACTAAAATATTAATTAACAACTAATATGAACTCGTACTAAATCTATTTCATGTGCTTATAAACAATTAATACGTTTTTAATATTTTAATATTTATTACTAGAAATATTAACATAGTGTAAGTAAGCACTTCTTAACGTCATATTATCATCGTATTAAAGCTTAACCATTTAACAACACTGATTTTATTTTCTTTTGTTTTGTTTTGCAATTAAACTGTTAAATAATAAATTAAGTAATAAAAATTGTAAAGTCATCACATTTTTCAAAAGCACCTGTTAAATATAAACATTGTAAATAAAAAACCTAAACAGTTCGCACAATAATAAAAAAAAAAATTTTTTTTTTGTTTGAAACAACAGGGAAAAGTACTTAAAATATTCGATAAATAAGCATTTTTTTCAGTGTCAATTCATTTTTGCCAAATTGATTTCGTTTGTAAAGTGAACCCAATTTTTTATAATTTAAAATTAATATGAAAATTTAAAAAACGATTAATCATTATATAATTACAGCAGTTTTAATGCATAAAAGCCATAAAAGGCTTCTGTTAACAATTTTTTCATTTGACATAGCTATGTTTTAGTAACTAAGAAGCTGTTTTTTTTAAATAGTTCATATTAACATAAATATGTTAACATATGAAATACACTTTAACATGAGCAAAGCAAGTATTTAACATTTATGTTATTATTACTGATGTAATGAGACTAATATTATTATTAGTAATCTATTAACC